CTGCAGGGTCCTTTCTGATCAGAACATGGCTTCCCTTTCTGTCAGTGAGTTCAAATCTGAGATATAGGCCCAAGTTTAGAAATTGATGTTGGTGAAGCAGACTGATTGGGATTGAGTATTCAACCTTCTCTGAGCTCTACTATCCTGATAATTAAGTTCTGGGCCTGGTTCTCGGATTTTTCTGTCCTCAGTTATTAGAAATGAGTCTCTTTCTATGCTGCCAGTAAGACCCTCTGACTTTCACATTTTGTCTTATGTTGGGGATTAATCTTCCTCAGCAATTTGCTGTCTTTATCCTAATACATAGCACAAGAGCAGCCATCCAATTTCATAATCTCCATGATTTCTACTTCCCCCATACTTCTCAAACTCTCCTCAGATCTTGCACCAACCAGTGCACTCTTTTTAGCTGGTATCTCATTCCAGTTTGCCACTGGTAATAGCATTAATAACTGCACCAGTACTACCCACACACACTGGGGGCTCTGAGTCCTCAGCCTGTCACTAGTGATGGGGTTCTCATTGGCAGCTGGCTGGCAAATAATCTAGCTCAAAAATTCCAGTTTAGAGGCTGCTTCCTAGGACCACTTTTGGTATCAACTCTCTTTTGTCAATTCCCCAGAAAATAGACTCAGAGATAAAGATTTGTATGCAAGAAGTTTGCAGGGGAAATGAGAGAAGTAAGACTGTGAGAAGGAGAAATTGAACTCCAATGTAGTTGCAATAGAGGACTTAGCAGGTCTCTCTGGGATCTATGGCACTGTGATGATATGTCAGGGATTTCCCAAATTCAGGCTAGGAGGTCGCCAGAACCAGTCACTGGATTCTGGCCGCCTCCAGGGAAGGTATGTTAACTTGGGTGAGTCAGGTCGCTTTGTCCACAAGCAAATACTGTATGGAGCTGAGACAGCTGCGAGCCATCAGCAGCCAACATTTCTGGCAACTGAGGTGATGAGTACCTTGGTCCTGAAGAGGGCATCTGAATGGTACAGGACAGTATACACTACATCGTGATCCAACTATAAAGATCCCAATGAATGCTACTGCAATTTTAGTCTTCTGTTGCATTTTAAGATTGCAAAATTTATTTTAAAAATCACCGAAAGACAGGGCTTCCCTGGTGGCGCAGTGGTTGAGAGTCCGCCTGCCGATGCGGGGGACATGGGTTCGTGCCCTGGTCCAGGAGGATCCCATGTGCCGCAGAGCGGCTGGGCCCGTGAGCCATGGCCGCTGAGCCTGCGTGTCCAGAGCCTGTGCTCCACAACGGGAGAGGCCACAGCAGTGAGAGGCCTGCGTACCGCAAAAAAAAAAAAAAAAACAATCAGTGAAAGACAAAGAACCAGAAATCTAATGGAGCAAGAAAATATCCTGCTGGGGCAGTATAAGCAAAATCTTTGTTTAGGGATAAGTCACATTTCTTCTGTTTTATCTAAGAATTATCCCAGGCTTTTGAAAAGGGAAGCATGTGTTTGAAATATTAAATAAACTATCTGCAGGCTGTGAGGGTAAAGGCTACTAGAAAGTGCTAGAGATTTTGGGGGGTTAATTGTGCACTCCTCTAGTTATTCTTCAACAGAAGTTCCAGTTGTACTTGTCAAAGGTATAAAGTTTCTTTGAATGATGAAATCTTCTTTTCCCTTCGCTTCTGCTTTCCCCTTCAGTTCTCCCTGCTCCATCAGCATTTATCTCTGTGTGAGTCTATTAAGATGCTTTCTAGGGTGGACACAGAAAAATTAAGAGCCTATCAAGAAATTATAAGGAATAAATAATAAACTTTAAATTTATTCATTTAAATAAATAAATAAACTTTATTTATTTACTTATTTAAATTTATTTTTTAAAATTTTTGGCTGCACTGGGTCTTGGTTGCTGCGCGTGGGCTTTCTCTAGTTGCGGCGAGCGGGGGCTACTCTTTGTTGTGGTGCGCAGCCTTCTCATTGCGGTGGCTTCTCTTGTTGTGGAGCACAGGCTCTAGGCATGCGGACTTCAGTAGTTGTGGCGTGGGCTTTAAGTAGTTCCTTAAACAGATGATTAAGGAAGTTGAGAATTTAGATTTTACTAACATTTTCACACTCTACGAAAGTCCAGGGAACATGATATGCCAACCATAGGAGAAAGCCCTATCGAACACTCAGCAACTCACCTCTGGGTCTATCAACCAAAATGTTGGTTGGATGCTTCTTTTGCCAAATTCTTGAAGATTTGAGAGAAAAATCTGAATTGTATCTCCATGACTTTACGGTGGGAGAAAACCCTCTGAGACATTATATGAATGTAGAAACAAAGTCCTACAGTACCTTATGCTAATAAGAAAATACCTAGATGTAGAACTGAGGAGGGTCATTTCTTTTACACACACACACACAAACATACATACACATATTCTCCAGAATCAATTGAAAAGTTGACAGATCAACCACTGACAGCCAAAAACCTCTAAAATATGTTTTAAATCCTAAGAATAATTACTATTCTTAGCATAATGTAATGTCCTCAGCCTCTGACAGCATAGATCTCATTGTTAAGTACCTTGGCCTTTATTATGTGAAGAATACTCAAGGAAGCAAGAACCCAAGGATAGTAAATCAGGGGTTGTAAACTGCCATTCCATCAATTAAGTCTGATCCACTGATTTTTCTTTTGGTTTCTAGTATCTATTAATATTCTGAAAAATCAGAAACCTCAGCAACACTGAGCTTGCCTATATGAACCATGGCTTCCCCATTTCTTTCCAGCTCTCTCCCATGTGCCCTTTTCACTCTATTGAGAGACTTGAATGCAACCCTAAGAAAAAATATCAAAACAGCTAACAAGGCTGTTGTAAACACAGGTTGCAAGAAGTTAAGGATGAATTATGTTGTTGCTTACCGAAGCCTAAGGATGTGACCAAGAGAAATAACTAAATAAAAACCTTGTTGTACAAGGCCTCTTATGTAAAGTCACTAATTTGATCATTATCCATTACATGTGTTTAATAAATTAGACAATATGTTCACCTAAAGAAAGACAATGCCCTCTAGACACCCATGTTGTAGATGTTGTCATATAATGACATAAACAAGCTGTAGAACAAGAAAAAAACATAATTAGTATTTTGTTCTAAGTAAAGAAAATGAAATAGAACATTCATGAACAATTACAAACAAGTTCTTTCAAGTTACGAGATTATTAGCTGGGGCGTATGAACCATAAATTCTAAGGGAGCAGTCACTTGGTAATTGTATTTAGAACACTCTTATTAACTTAGACCAATTCCAGGAATGAGTAGTAGGAACAAGCACAATTAACATAAAACTAGAGAGCTGTACTTAGGAGGAGGAACTCAGAAAACGCAGCTCTGTAGGATGGTGGAGACTTTAGGGAATCCATGGGGTTAGAACATGCAAAGTAGTTGCTTTTGAAGGCCTTAGAACAGTTAAGCCACTGGTATCATGTGTTACAGGGGTAGCATCAGGTTCCTGGCAAGCTGGCCTGGAATGAAGGAAGCAATTACATCATGACATTTGCCACACCATATGGCAGGTGGAGCTATCTCAGGATGCCATCCAACGGCTCCTCCGCACAGGAACTCTTCTAGTGAGCGTCACTTGATACACGAAGCTTGTGAAGGAGTTCAAATTCTCGTAGATGATTATATTATCCAGGTAAAAAGGCAAGACTACAACCTGAGAGCTTTGCAAGAGCCAAGCCAAGAAAGAAATGCTATGTATAGTGATAATGAACTAGAAGTTAGAGGCCCAACCAAAGCCATAGAAACTATGGGCAATGGATCAATATTTACTGATCTCAGATTGAAGTAGCTAAGGATGTGGGACGAGGTCAGATTGGTGCTTAATATTACTTCTGTCTCTATTATTATTTTCATCACACTAAGCATAATTATTCTTTATCATGAACTTATTATATGCCAGGCGCTGTGCTTTCTGCTTTTCCTATTTTAGGATGTTTAATGAACATTTGCTGAATGAAAGGGCGAGTTAATTCTTCCAGCCATCCTGCAGGGATTACAGATGGGAAGTTAAGCATCTTGCTCAAGGTGCCACTGCAAATAGGCCAAAAAAAAAAAAAAAAAAGCTAAAAATCAAATCCAGATCTGCCTCATTACAAAACCCATGAATTCTATACTCATGGTTTGTGCTGGAAGCTGAAGAAAGATTGAAGTTATAAGTCACCAGCAGCCACTCAAAGAGTAGTATTAATGTGCAATAAGAGAGAGAAAGAGAGTAGCTGAGCAGGCTCAACAAGGAGAGTCTAAACAAGGGCTAGAGACCTAGAAGTGCAGGAGAGGGGGGGTGCAGCCAGGCAGAGGCTTAGTAAGATGGCTGTGCTGGACTTGGCATAGGTGCTCGCCCTCTGACTTTGGACATGAAGAATCTGCCTGTCAGTAGTCATGGTCTCTCATGGGTTCTGGCTTCACATCTCTAGCTACTGCTCTCTATAGGATGTTCTATTCTGTGGCTGAGAAGGTTGGGGGAATGAATGGGAGGTTTGTGAAGTACAGCTGTGGTCCTAGGTGCAGGTCATCCTTGACTCTGAATGTCCAGGTTGCTGAGGTTCTCAAAGTCTGGGGTTTACATAAGGTTTTCTCTCACTTTATGCATAGAATGAGCTCACAGGAAGGGGTGGTCCAAGCTGCCAGCACTTTTAATCTCTGCTTCTATCCCTATGGACTTTCATCTGTAGCCAATTGTGGGAATTATGAGCTGGGGAGGTGGGGACTCATTTGGCATTATGTCTGGAATTCATCACCACTCTCTACCCCTTGCTTTAAGAATTTTCAAACAGCTCTTCCAAGAATAACCCAGCAAATATGTTTATTTTCCAGGAATGGGGACCCTATCTGTCCCAGCCAGACAGCATTTTGTCTCACCCCATGCCAGTAGACATCACTGCAGAGTCATATATATTATTATGTCAAGCAGCTAAGCCATTAGGTACAAGATTGGGTACAAGAGTTGATCTGCTACCAACACTATTTTCCTAATGTCATCTAGTGTAGGACAAAAGCGAGAAGAATTTGAAGCTAAGCCAGTGGACTTTGTTTGACAAATCCAGCTGATTCTCAATTATCCTGACTAATGAGGCACAGAAATTGCCTGAGAACAATGATGGGTAAGTCTCAAGCTGTATTCAGCAAAGCACATCACCTATAGGAGGGTTATGACAAAGCCACAAAAAGGGTATGTGCCCCTGGATATAAGTGGGACAACTAGACTGGGTTTTGAACTTATATTTCCAAGTCATACTAATGCACTAAATTGCAGGAAAACAGATGGACTTAACTTCAGAAAACCAAGGAAAGCTTCCAGAGAGCCTAATTGAACAGATTGCTATAGCCGTATAAATAGGTCAAGTAGGAACTCATGCATGTTCCAGGGAAAACTCTGAGATTGTGTGTGCGTGTGTGTGTGTATGTGTGTGTATAGTCAGCTAAGCAGAAACTGATAGAAACCATTTTTTCTGGAGGATGTACTGCTGTGCCATGGATGTGACTGTGTATCAAGATCCTTCTGATACTTGCAGTAACTGACTTTTTGGGAAAAGATCTAAGTTAGCCTCAACAATCCCGAATTCCATACAAGTATTGCTAGGGTTATAGAGAAGCTCTGTGTTTTGACTCTAGAATGCCAGCAAAGGAAAAGGCAACATGTTAAAACAATTCTCTACTAAATTCCAAGCATGGGAGCATTTCACCTACTTCATCATAGAAATCTGTTGCAATTATTACTAACAAAACCAAGTGTCTTCTATTAGTTAAGTCGTTCCAAAGGAGCACACATTTTTTCAAATTACCATGGCTTCCTCCCCTCTTGTAACCTACTGTAATTTTTTCCACAAGGGTTATTAAGTAATTTTGTTTGTTTAAAGCTGCCCAGAAAGTGTCCCTTCCAAATATTGTTCTTTTAAATTTTTATTCAGAGTAGAGTATGTTGAATGATGCCTCATTGTTAGATCAACCTTCTTAATCCCATTAAATAATGCAATCATAGGGGGGTGGGTGGGGTGGCAGGAGAATGCAGGGGGGCAGATATATGAAAAAGGTGTCCACATCCTCATAGTGGAAGTCGATCATTATGGCCTCTCCCAAAGAGGGAATCACAGGCTGATTTTTGCCTTGGCATTGCCTGAAAGTAACCCTTGATGGACATCTGGGCCCTGTCGCCTCTCACAAAGTCTTTGTCTCTGGACTTTAGACCCACCTCACTCATGTCACCATCCATGCCTTTGCCTCTACTTCAGCTTCCAGGGAAGCTCAGGCTGGTCCTTTTAGAAGCTATAGAATGAACTCCTTTACTGGGCAGGGCTTCTGGCCCAAAGCCCCAACCAAGTAGCTCATTGTATGGTTCCTCCCCTCCTGCCAAGCCTTCCATTTTCCTTATTTTACCTTCTTCTAAACTTGGTCTTGCAATACGAATGTGGGAGTGCTGGAAATCCAGTCAAAGGAGCCTTCAAAAAGGTTACGTGCAGTTGAGTAGTGTAATTTGTCTAGTCTCTGCTTATCATTTACTGTGGCTTTCTAGGGGTCAAAGTAGTCAAGCATTTGGGGACTTGGCTGTCGAGGACAATAATTATAGAAGGTATGACCTTGGAATTTGGGAGGTGGGGTGGGAAGAAAGATGTGTCTTTATTCTTAATGATGAGTAATTATTATTTAGTGCACAATGAACAACTGGCCTAGTTTAGCCTTTTCTCTGGGTTCTCAAACTATAAGTTATTTTTAAGTTATAGGTTATAGCCCATTATTATCTCATGAAATAAACTTATTGAATCATGACCAGAGTTTTTTAAATAATAGAATGTATCAGTAGTAAGGGTGTGTTCTTTTACATACATATGTAGGAAATGAGTGTGTACTGGATCAAAATGTAAAATACATTTTGTACCATAGATTGAGTTAAAAAAAAAAATAAAAAAAAATAAAAGCCAAGGTTCTACATCAATACTCACATATTCAGAGATCTGCAAGGACCAGGCAGATAATACACATTTTTGCTTAGGCCAATACCAGTTAGAATAAGGCTGTGAGCACAGTAGATTACTGGAGAGCTCATGCCCCATCTAAAGTTATGAATGATTCAGTATTTTAAAATGCAAAATCCACTATGCAGATCTAATTCAGTTGGGAAGAAGCCAATAAGCATGTTGTCCAATTATAAGATGCAGTTGACCTCAGGAATAGGAAAAAGGTAAAAGTAAAAATGGAAAATGTAAATTTGTGGCTGCTGAGAATAGTCGGAACATGACTCCTGATAGGTCTTAGGGTATTTCAGAAACAAGGAAAGATGAGGGAAAAGCATGATCTCTGTGTGATCATTTTTCCTTGGCCTTAGAAGAAGAGTATGATGGTAGAAATAAATTTGAGTCTTAATTCCAATACTTCTTCATTTTCTATGTGATTTTGGACAAGTTACTTAAATGATCTGGCACTCAGTTTCTTCATTTGTAATATGGGAATATTAATACCTATTTTATAGTGAAGATTACAGATAATGTATTTTAAATATGCAGCATTAGCGCGAACGATAGTGTTAAGTGGGCACTTTAATTATCATTCTGTTATCTCCTGAAGAGTAACATAATTTCAGCTAATTTTAGTGATTAACTAAATAAATTCAGAAAGGGAATTACAAAAGATTTTATTTTCACTCTGGTTTTTGACAAATCCTTTGAATATTTTAATCAATCACATAGTGGGAAGATATGTACTGGTTTGGGAGGACTATTTGACAATATCTATTAAAAATATTTCTAAAAATCTCATATAAAGCCTCAAAAAATTTAAAAGGATTGAAATTATACAAAGTATTCTCCCCAGCCACAATAGAATGAAAGTAGAAATCAAAACACAGAAAGGAATGAGAGAAATTCATGACCATGTGGAAATTAAACAACATATTCCTAAATAACAAATTAATCAATGAAGAAATCAGAAAAAGTAATAGAAAATAGACTGAAAAGAATGAAAATGAAGACACAAAACAAAAATTCATAAAATGCTGTTAAAAAAATACTTAAGAGGGGAATTTATAGCTGTAAATACCTATATTAAAAAGTAAGAAATATCTCAAATCAATAACCTAAACACCTACCCTAAGACAATGGAAAAAGAAGAACAAACTAAACCTAAAACAAGTGGAATGAAGGAAATAATAAAGAGTAGAGTGGAAATTATGAAATAGAGAATTACAAACAATAGAGAAAATCAACAAAATAAAAGTTTGATTCTTTGAAAAGATCAACAAAATGGACAAACCTATACCTAGACTGACCAAAAAAACAGCAGAGAGAAAACTCAAATTACTAAAGTCAGAAATAAATGAGATGATATTATTACCAACTTTACAGAAATAAAAAGGGTCCTAAAAGAATACTATGAAAATACCATAAATACTATACTATAAATTGGAAAACTTAAATGTAATGGATGAATTCCCAGAAAAACACAACGAGCTAAATAATCAAGAAGAAATAGACGATCTAAATAGATCATAACAGAAGAGATTGAATGAGTAATCAAAAAACTCCTCACACGGAGAAACCCAGGCCAGAACAGCTTTACTGATGAATTCTACCAAATATTTAAAGAATTATTAGTAATTATTCACAGATTCTTCCAAAAAATGGAAGAGGAGGGAACACCTTCCAAATCATTCTCTGAATCCAGTATTACTCTGATGTCAAAACCAAAGACATCACCAAAAAAAACCCAACAAAAACCCAGGATTCTACAGCCCAGTATCTCTCATAAATATAAACACAAAATTCCCCACACACGCAAAAAATAGTAGCAAACTGAATCTACCAACATATTAAAAGGATATACACCATGGCCAAGTGGGATTTATCTCAGGAATAGAAGGTCAGTTTAACACCTGAAATCAATTAATGTAATATACTATATCAATAGAATAAAGGACAAAAACAACGTGCTCTTCTCAATAGATGCAGAAGAGGCATTTGACAAAAATCCAACACCGCTTCATGTAAAAATATTCAAAAAACTAGGAATAGAAGGTCACTTCCTCATCCTGATAAATACAAAAATACAAAAATCCCTACAACTAACATTATACTTATTTATAGTTGACATGATCTTGTAGCTAGAAAATATAAAAGAATCCCCCAAAATACTTAGAGGTAATAAACAAGTTCAGCAATTTTTCAGGATACAAGATCAATATACAAAATCAATTGTTTTTCTATATACTTACAATCCAAAAAATAAAATTAAGAAAACAACTTCATTTACAATAACATCAAAAAAGAATAATACTTATGAATAACTATAACAAAAGAAGTACAAGACTTGTACATTGAAAACATATTGTTGGAATAGAATTTAAAGGATGTAAGTAAATGAAAAGACATCCTATGTCCATGGATTAGAAGGCAGTATTATTAAGATAGCAATACTCTCCCCATTGATCTACATACTCAGTACAATCTCTGTCAAAATCCCAGCTGGCTTCTTTGCAGAAAATGACAAGCTGATCCTAAAATTTGTATGAATATACAAGGGACCCAAAATTGCAAAACTGTATTGGAAAGGAACTAAGTTGAAGGATTTACACTTCCTGACTGCAAGACTTACTGCTAAGCAAATGTAAGCAATACCATGTCATAGTGATTAAGGATAGATCAGTGGACTAGAATATAGAATCCAGAAACAAATCCCCACATTTATAGTAAATTGATTTTTGAAGAGGGTGCCAAAACAATTGAATGGAGAATGAAGAGTCTTTTCAGCAAATGGTGCTAGGACAACTGGAAATTCACATGCAAAAGAATGAAGTTGGACCTCTACCTTACCCTATATACAAAAATTAACTCAAAATGGATCAGAAATCTAAATGTAAGTCAAAATTATAAACTGTTAGAGGAAAACATGGAGGTAAATTTTCATGACCTTGGCTTTGGCAATGGCTTCTTATATATAATATTAAAAGCAAAAGTGAAAGAGAAAATAGTTAAACTAGATTTCATCAAAATTAAAAAGTTTTGTGCTTCAAGGTCACCACAGAGAAAGTGGAAAGACTGAATGGGAGAAGATATTTTAAATCATGTATCTAACAAGGAATTTATATCTAAAATATATAAAGAACTCTCACAAATCAATAATATAATGATTAAAAATAGGCAAAGGATCTGAATAGAAATTTACCCAAAGAATATATACAAATGTCTAACAAACACAGGAAAGGGTGCTTAACATCATTTTCTTTAGGGAAATGCAAATCATATTATGAGATGCCACTTGACACCCACTAGGATGACTCTAATCAAAAAGATAATAACAAGTGTTGGTAAGGAGGTAGAAAGAATGGATACCTCAGACACTGCTGGTAGGATTTTTTTGTTTGTTTGTTTGTTTGTTTTTTTGCGGTATGCAGGCCTCTCACTGCTGTGGCCTCTCCCGCGCGGAGGACAGGCTCTGGACGTGCAGGCTCAGCGGCCATGGCCCACGGGCCCAGCCGCTCTGCGGCATGTGGGATCCTCCCGGGCCGGGGCACGAACCCATGTCCCCTGCATCGGCAGGCAGACTCTCAACCACTGCACCACCAGGGAAGCCCTGCTGGTAGGATTTTAAAATGGCACAGCCACTTTGGAAAACAGTCTGATAGTTTCTTAAAAGGTTAACCATGAAGTTACTATATGAACATATATCAAACTATTAACAGTAGTTTCTTCTGGGATGAGGAGGTCAGTAGGTGGATGGGTACTAGAACAGAGGAAGTGGGATGAGGGAACTGTCACATTTCACTGTATAAAGGTCTGTTTTGTTTCTATCTTTTCAATAATTTAGTATTTATGTATTCCCAGTATAAGACAAAAACAAATAGAAAGCTACATAAGATGGATGTAACACATGGACCAAGTCCCAAGGCACTTCATCAAATTGATGTAATAATCTTACTGATCAGAATACACTGTACTATGAATGCAGAATTCACATGCTGTTGGCTACCTTTGTTAGAGCAGAGTTACATTCTATGTGACATTTACTTTGGTAGGAAAAGGGATATGGCATGCTTTGACAAATGTTCTGTCTGGTGCATGTTCAGGCTTTTGTATTTGCTATTCTCTCTGCCTGGAATGCTCTTCCTACAAATATCCACATGTGGTCCTCCCACTTCTTCAGATCTTTGCTCAGATATTTTCTTCTCAGCCAAGTCTTGCCTGCCTTCCCTACTTTGAACTTGAGTACTCAACTCAATCCCCGTTAGTCCCCATTGCCCTTCCTTGCTTTATTTTCCTCCATAGCCTTTTCAGCCATCGGATACCCTACAGTTTCACTTACTTGTCTAATGTCCACTTCCTCCATCTCACTGAAGGTAGGAACATCTATCAGATATTTCATGGCTGTAACCCTGGATCTAGAATGATATCTGGCACATAGCATGTGCTCAATAAATTTTTGTTGAACCAATGAAAGAATGATTTAATAATTGCACTTAAATAAAGGAAACTACGCTTGTGGGAGCTACTGGCACAGCTGGGATGGAAAAGCATTGTCTCTCTGAACTCTCATCACCGAATCTTGCCCATTGAGTGAAATAATTTAAAAACTGGATATAGATGGCAGCAAGGTTTCCAAATTTTCTTCCATTGGTCAAAACCCCCAGTTACTCTCATTCACCCACGATTCATCACTGACACTCACAAAGAGGGGAAAAATGAGAGCAGAAATGTCATTTCCCTTTCTCCCTACTTTTAGTCAAGCTGAAATAATCTGAAACTTATTGGGAACATGAGACTTCAGGCATTTCAAAGCTTAACTTCCAGATCATTAGAACATTGTATCACCCATCTGAATTTGGACTTGAGATTAACATTATTTCTATACTAAGCTGATTTTTCCATCCATCCATTAACGTTTCCTTCTTAGTGAGCCTTTATTTAAATCCACATTTCTTTTTCCTTCACTATTCCCTGAGTATGTCTGAACATGAAAATACTTCCTTTAATTGACAAGTCCAACAAACCAAGATAAAGTATAGCAATGAGTGGGTTCTTAGATCCTTCTCTGTATGTGAGTATACTAAGCTTGAAGGCACAAAGCGTTAAACCGTTTTTGAGAGCACGTTGTATTTTTTATTTTAGTTCTTTTTCCGCAGGAGGACTCTCTGAATGTATAATGCAGGGCCAGTTTTGGAAGACCAAACATAGAGAAGAAAGAGGAGATTAAAGAGGATTAGCAGCAAAGACACCTAAAAGAAGAGCACCCGTGGGTGGAATGGGAGGCGTTCATTGATTAAGAGTTGGAAAAACTAATTTCTTTCCTATAGTTCCAAGGGATTTCATAGCAACAGAGGAGAACAAAGTCCTAGTCCTTTAAAACCATGAGGCACCACTTTGTCTGACATATTTCTTCGATATCTTCCAAGGTACATGGAATATAGGTATTCCAAAATGGGTGAAAGAGAAATCTTCCTTGTCATTGTTTAAAACCCCTCCAAGGAGACTCTGAATTCTGTTAGAAAGACAAACCATTCTTCTTCCTGTAGGAGCCTAAGCTCTTCAGATCTCATCTACATCTCTCTTGTTTCCATTTAAATTTAGTGCCTCCTCTGTAGTGCTTAGAGTAAAGAGAGAGGCTCCCCCTTCCTGGGAAAACTGAAGTTTCCCACTGGCCCCCAGCTCCACATGGGATGGGGCATGGCTTCACGCCACATGATTTACCCTGAGGTGCAAAAAACAGTGTTCTGTAAACAGTTCTAACAACTATTATAAAGTACTAAGGCTGCTCTCCCAATCAGGTCCCTGATAAGTTGAGCATTCCTTGCCCTATCATAACAGAGCACATGTTGCCTGCAGGTCTAGCTGTGAAAATGACAGAGCAATGCTCCCAAACAGGTTGGGTGGTGAACATGGGCCCCATGACTCACCCTTACCTTAGTTCTAACAGACAGGCTTTGGAAAGCAGGCTGGTTAGGGTCTGCTAGGTGGATTCCATGTGCTGCTCCGTCCTGTCTGAATTGCTCAGAAGGAGTCTCGAGCCCTGTGTGTCTAGGCGGGATGGGAGTGGGGCAGATCAAGAGTGTGGCATCAGAATAGAAGCAGTGATTTCCTAAGTCCTTGGTCAGCTGTGCGAAGCCTAATGTCTCGTTTAGTGCAAGTTTCATGAAGTCAAACCACCAGATCAGGCTTGGGGAGGTTACCTGTTGTTCGGGCTGGTTTTTACCCTTTGGGTTTTGTATAAATTTGAAAACAACAAATAAGACGTGAGCATTTTTCTTGCATACGCTCTGTCATCCTAGTCTCGATTTCAGTAGATTCTACTGTGTCAGCTGAATGGAAGAAATATGCGGCTCATGTCCATGTTTCCATAAGCACATAATATTACTTATACTACAAAGTAGTAATTACTCCAATAAAATGATGAAATATTAATAAAGGTGGAATTATGAGTTTGACATTACCAATGGCAATATAAAGATTATCGATTTTTTTTTTCTATTACTGAAATGGTTTGAATTGTATTCCTTGTCCAAGGCCTCGGGAATTATTAAAATTCCTTGACTACACAAGCGTCTCATGAGATGTGTTAATGAGATTGTTTTCTGATATGCAAAAGTGTTGTGACACAGTTTTTAAATGCATGCTGCACATCCCCAACCAATTATCATACAAAATGCAACTGTTTCTCTTTGTCAGTCACTAGCGCCTGAATAGACAGCACTAGACCCAGCTGCATAATTCTGGTTTATTTTTCATGTCTGATACTATAGTAATGTTGTGAGGCATTTACTTAGCAACAGGGGTTAATGTTTGTTTTAAATGTGATTTCCTTTCTTCAGCCTCTTTGGAAATATGCCTAAATTAAGAAACGTGCCTTCAGTTTCTTCAGAAGAGCAAGCATGTGTTTGCATACACACCTCAGCTTGGCTTGTTTTTTCTTCCTCCCTGTGGTGATTGTGATGAGGTGAGTGTTTATGCTAGCAAAATTCTGGAGTGCGGACAAACTGTGCTGCACTTTTATTAATGCAAGATGGAAAATGTGACCAAAATATTGTAGAAAATCTAATTCATGTCTGCTCAAGCTTTGTATTAGTTTGCTGGGGTTGCCGTAACAAAGTACCTCAAACTGGGTGCCTTCAACAACAGAAGCTTATTGTCTCACAGTTCTGGAGGCTGGAAGTCTGAGATCAAGGTGTTGGCAAGGTTGGCTCCTTCTGAGGGCTCTGAAGGAGAATCTTTTCCATTCTTCTCTCCTGGCTTCAGGTGGTTTGCTGGCAATCTTTGGTGTTCCTTGGCTTGAAGATCTCCACCTTCATCTTCACATGACACCCTCTCTGTGTGTGTGTCCAAATTTCTCCTTTAAGGTACCAGTCATATTGGATTAGGAGCCCACCCTACTCCAGTATGACCTCATCTTAACTAATTACAACTGCAACAAACCTGTTTTCCCATTCTGAGATCCTGAGGGTTAGGATTTCAACATATGAATTTGTAGGGGATACAATTCAACCCATAACAAGCTTCAAATAAATAATAGACTATGTAATTCAATGAATAGATATTAAATTGTAAGTTGATTCTTCAAGATTAGTGTGACATTTGCTTTTCAACTTCTAGTAACTCCCTCAGGACTCTTGTGTCTCCCTTTACCAAGCAGCAGAAAGAAGAGTTATAATTTGCAGCAAAGCCCTTACTGTCCACCGAATTTCGGTCCAGCCTTTCCCATTACAAGATATTAAAAAGACCTTATTACCAAGTGCTCCTCATTTCAGTCACTGTTTCCCTCAGTGTTTCTATTAATTTTGATAAACATATGAGCGTACATGCTTTGTAAAGGGAAGGGGCAGCCTTCACTGGGAGTCAAGCTTAATCACAGCGTAGGTATTAAACTGAGCCCAGAGACCTTTTAAGGTTTGCAAATTCTTATGGCATAATAAGTTAGGAACTTAAAACTCAGCATCGTAAGCTATCTTCCAGACCCTAAAGAATACTGTAAAAGGATACTAAGTTGGAATGGTTATAGGAAATGTCACATTCAGAGACATGGCTGATCAGGACCTCATTAATTGTTGCAAGATGCACAGACTACCAAAATCAGGGATTAGGACTAGAGCCACACAAGAGTTGGTGGGAAGGGGACATGTATTAGTAGGTCTGAGAGAGAGGTTCAGTCTAGCAGGCAGAATAATGTAGAGTCTGAGAGGCCTGATAACAGATAGCAGGTGGCATACCAGGCTGGCACTCCCAACTTGGAGTCACAGAGATGGGTGGTAAATCTTGGCCTTGGGAAATTCGGGAGCAGATGGTGATCAGAAACACAGGCAAGCAGTTGAAATTTGAGAGGTCAGACCCAAGCCACAATGCTTCTGGTAGGAATCTTCTCTCAGATATGGTGGAGACCCTCCTCAACACTTGAATTTGTCACTCCTCAGTTTTTGGAGGCGTTGCTCTTTCTCTGTTGGCGTCCTGTCACTCTAATGCTCTCATTCTCCCCGGTTCTCCTGCTTGTTATTCATTCACTAAAACCCTTCTGCTGTGTGTTTCAGGGAGGGAAAGGTGATCGTCACGGGGGCAGATGCAGTAAAGCAGTGGGGAGAGATGTCCGAGTGGGCTGAGGAGGGGGTGGGAGGTAAGAACTAGAGAGTCTTGCTGTGACAGGAAGCGGTTGAACGAGTGGTCTCTGAAAGAGACCGGGCAGTCCTCAGGGTCCTGACTCTTCACCGCCCACACCCACTTTGAAGTCATTTCACTTATATCCTTCCCTTTCAATGCCATCCACACACTGATTACTCCTCAACTTGTACCTTCAAACCTGACTTCTCTCCTAAGCCTCAGACTCATGCTTCCGACGGCTTACTTGAGCTCTGCATTTGTGTGTCTCCAACAGAATCCATCCCCTGCAAAGTTGCCAGAGGGATCTTCTAAAACTGTAAAGTAGATCATGCCATTTTCTTACTTAAAGGCTTCCAATGGCTTTCTGAAATACTTAGAATAAAATCCAAATTCCTGGGCTTCCCTGGTGGCGCAGTGGCTGAGAATCTGCCTGCCGATGCAGGGGACATGGGTTCGAGCCCTGGTCTGGGAAGATCTCACATGCCAGGGAGCAACTAGGCCCATGAGCCACAACTCCTGAGCCTGTGCGTCTGGAGCCTGTGCTCCGCAACAAGAGAGGCCGCGATAGTGAGAGGCCCACGCACCGCGATGAAGAGTGGCCCCCACTTGCTGCAACTGGAGAAAGCCCTCGCACAGAAATGAAGACCCAACACAGCCAGAAATTAATTAATTAATTAATTAATTTTTAAAAAAATCCAAATTCCTTTTTATGGCCCTCAAGGTTCTACATAATTTTCCTCCCTAATCTCACTTCCTATCATTTTCCTGTTCTTTCACTATGCTCCAGCCACACTACCAAATGTATGTCTGTTGGTTGAGCAAGCTCTCTGATTGTGAACTTGTAGTTCATTGTACCTGGATGATCATCCTCCAGATCGTCACTTGATTTCCTCCTTCTCCTCACTCAGGTCCAAGTGGATAGGTCACTGCTTCCTCAGTGGCCTTTTCCGGACACACAATTCAAAGTAGCAAAGTCCACCCACCCACCCAGACACTCTTTCACGTTATACTGGTTTACTTGTTTCACAGTATGTATTCTTGCTGATTTGTTTACATCTATATTGCCTGTTTTTACTCCCAACCTCCCATCACCAAATAGACCATAACTCAAGAGAATAGAGACCATGGTGGTTTGTGTTCGTTTTTGCTTGTTTGGTTGGCTCAGCATGGCATTTCCAGTACTCAAGATAGCACCAGGTATGTAAATGTTCCATAAGCATTTATTGAATAAGTGACTGGAAATATGCCCAGAATCCAGCCATTTCCTACCACCTCAACTGCTTCTGCTCTGGTATAAGCCACTGTGTTCTCTTGCCTCAGTTACTGAAATAGCCTCCTAATTGATTTCCCTACTTCTGCTTTTGCCTCCCTCAGTCTATTCCCAACACAGCAGTCAGAGTGAACTCATTAAAAAGGAGATAAACACTTCTCTGCTCAAAATTCTCCAATAACTTCTCATCTCAGAGTAAAATCCAAAGTCCTCCCTTTATCCAAATCTTTTGCTACCTCTGATTTTATCACTCTTACTCTCTCCCTTCCTCACTGTACTTCATCTATAGTGACCTCCTTGATATCCCCTGAGGACACCAAGCATGTTTCTGCTTCAGAAAGTTTGTACTTGCTGTTCCCTCTGAGTGTAGTTTTCTTCCCCAGACATCCAAATGGCTTGCTCTTCTCTTGGACTTCCTTCAAGTCTTAACTAAAATAGCACGTTATCATCAAGACCCTAACAGTCTACCATAATATAAATATTATATATTATATATATAATTTGTATATATTATATGTTATAATATAATTATAATAATATAGTCAACACCAGGCCTATCTTGAAAAAAAAAAGTATCAGTAGAGAGTCAAACATTTAGCTCAATTTGATCTGTGTCAGAAATCTTGGTATCATTTACTTAGCCTTACAAATTATGCTATTTCAGTTCACAAGTAATGAATTTCAGCTATTCAAGATATTGACTGTATTTTGAGATATCCCTCTTGAGAAAAACCCTTGAAATCATTGAAATGGTGTTTATTGACATCATTAGTGTCATGGAGAAATGATTGTTTTCACTTTCCTCATTTCAAAAACTCTTATGACAAATTTCCCCTTGGCTTCCTCATACTTTAATGGAAAAAAGCAAGGTTTTGATACAAGATGCCTATGTATTTGCTCATGAAAAAGATATATGCTTATTGGCTAGAACATAGTAGTATTCAGTTTTCCTCATTTATTTCAATATTAGATCAAGATCAGGAAATATTCTGCCAACTGTTCTCTTTGCAAACAGTAGGGTTCTAATGCTCAAGTACTTTAGTCTCCTTTAATGTTCACAGCAGCATATATAAATGGTGTCCTTTAGTACTGATCCCATACACCTATCTCATGAATTGTATTTAACTCTTTTTTTTTGTATTTAACTCTTTGCTAACTATTTTAAAATGTTATCTTTCTATACCGTGACTTTTCAATATTAACATAATAAAAATATGTTGATCATTTCTTCTTCATATATGCTCCACTTATGCTGAGAAATTATTCAAGTTCTGTACATCAGTGGTTTTAGCCAAATATGAAGCAAAATGTATGCTATCAACTATATAAGCTCTTAAACGTTTTATGCTGTTATATTATTAGTATTTTATTATCAATGCTGTAGCTTCTGAAACTGTCAAATTGTCTCTACATTCCCTGGAATCACCAGAGGTTTATGGATCACACTTGAAGAAACACTGTTACCTCGATGGGGAGCCAATAAAATTGTATTAAAGATTATTTTTTTAAATATATTTAAAGGAAATATGAGTAGGGCAAATGAGGAAAGAAAGAGTAATGGTGGGAGGAGGGAAATAGAGAGCATGTTCTTTTATACACTCATTCTCCCAGTCAAATTTGCCAAGGCAGGAAGTGACATCAACAGCAACCAGAGTCCTATGACCAGGGGACCCTACTCCTCCCACCCTCTCCTCCAGAGGGAACATAAGAAATGGAGAACCAAGTCCACTCAGGTCTATGGCCCCAATCTTTCCTTGTTTGCGATTCCTCTCAGAACACGGTACATTCCTCTTCTTTTCTATTGTTGGTAGTTCTCCCATATTGAAATTCTTGGGCAGTGATTTGCACATTTGGGAGGGCTAGAGATTGTCTCCCCCAAATTCATATGTTGAAATCCAATCCCCAATGTGATGGTGTTTGGAAATGGGGCCTTTTGGGTGATTAGGTCATGAGGGTAGAGCCCTCACGAATGGTATTAGTTACCTTATAAAAGAGACCCTAGAGAGCTCCCTGCCCCCTTCTACCATGTGAGGACACAGCAAGAAGATAGCCATCTATGAACCAGGAAGTGATTTCTCACCAGGCACCAAAACTGCTGGAGCCTTGATCTTAGACTTCCAGCCACCAGAACTGTGAGAAATAAATTTCTGTTGTTTATAAGCCATGCAATCTATCATATTTTTCTATGGCAGCCTGGACTAATGGAGGGAGCAATTGGAGCAAAATGGATACTACCTTTTTGTGCTGCACTAGCTTTTGGCTGTGTGTCTACCCATGGCTGGCCATTGTCACCCCATATCCTAGTGCAGAGTATAACACTCGCCACGTTAATACAGCTTGACAAGACACTTGACTTTCTAAGTGCTTTCACATTCATTATTTCATCTGGGTGTGGCTAAACTGCCCTGACCAAGCCAAGGAAATTTCCCCCCTGAGCTGGAAAGAGGTTTATTGAAGGTACAGTTCAGTCACAATACCTCCTCCCCTTGAAGAGAAACATTTACAGAGTTGATGAGGTCTCTGCAAGAGCAGGAAGGATACAAGAGCTTTCTACCATCCTATCCTGTCTATGAAATTTAGTTTTTGCTGAAAGAAAAGACATGGGAGTTTTTAAGAAATGGGTCAGGATAAAAATGAAGTTTAGTTCATTAAGAAAGGAAGAAACAGTCCTCTCAAAACATGGGTGCAGCTCAGAAATATTTGACTCATCGGAGTGATAAGACTTGCTGACATGGGCTGCGTGCTCCTCAACTTCACAGAGACTTTCAAGTGCCATACGCCACTGAAAACACAAATTCCGGTTCAGGCATGTAGCCTAAGAGATTCTTGTGTAACCTGTGCTGCAAGGAGCTAAAATCTTTAATCATGTTGATGGAATATGTAAGATTTCACTGAACTGAGACATTTGAAGTAACACTTAAGGACATCTGCATTTATGCCCCAGACACCCAGGTTCTAGAAGTGGGTTAGGTTTCCTCTTTCTTTATAGGTATCATAGTATCATGGTATAGGTATCATGGGCAAAAGCTGCCTCCTTCTTCCCTCCCTGCCTCCCTTCCTCCCTTTCTTCTTTACTTCCTTACATCTTTTCCTCCTTTCCTGCCATCCTCACACTCTCTCTCCTCTCTTCTTTCCACAGCTATTTACCACCTATCATGTGGCAAGCTTGATGCTCTACTTCAGAGGTTCTAAGATAATTTGTACATCACTTTGCCTGCCTTAAAGATGCTCATAAACCAACAAAGAGAGGCATCTGATCCATGTGTTATCAACTCAAGGTGAGTCTTCTCTTGCCAATATATTCCTTTTTGTTTCATTAATACAATTCTGCTTCTTTAAAGGAGATTTAAACAGCTGTGAAACCCCATCTTGTTTCACATTCTCAGGGTAAAAAGCACAAATTCAAATTAATGTATGATACAGTTAGTGAACATAAAATATACTTAATTAACGTATTCCACATGTTAATTTGAACCCTCAATTGGGATGTAGTTTCTTTATATACATGAAAACTTGAGTTTTCAATGAAACATGAGTGTTTGTGCAGTGATTCAACTACTAACAGGGTTACTGAATATAGGAAAATACTTCCTATAAAATAGACTCTAGGGAAACATCAAGCCCTGACTCTGTGATCATTACAACACAGCAGAATAATAATTAACTAAATGTATGTTACTTTTCCTTGAGTGTCATTTAGGTGGGCAAAATAATAAAGTAACTTCAGATCTGGCATATAATTTTCATCAAACTTCAAAATTTGAGACATTTAAAGAAGCAAATTCAGGGCTTCTTGTTCCCTAAATAATGTGAATTCGTTTACCTGAACCCCTTCCCCCAAGTACACAAAGTATAACATTATTCGAAATGTGTAGTTGAGATAACAGGAAAAGTAAGAACAATTCTCAGGTGGCAGGTAATCTGAAAAGCAGAGCACAATCCCATGAGGCACAGCTGAGGCTTCCCTTGGCCGTTAACCCCAGGTGGAAGTGAGTGTGGGGGAAATAGGATGTTAGGACTTTGCTGGTTCAAGCACCCTAAGAGCTTTTATTTTAAGATCTTCAGGGTTGCAGAATAAATCCTTAAGCCCATGAAGAGAGAACTAGAAACTTTAAAGGGCTGTTCCTGAGTAAAATACAGGACTGAAAATGCTGTGCGCAGTGACACAGGAAGGCAACAGGAAAGTTTATCTGTCTCTGCCTGAGTTCCTGGGCAATTTATATTTTGGGTCTGCTGCAGGCATAGATGTGGGGTTTGAGTTTACACTACCCTCAAGGTCCTCAAGGTTTAGGAATCCTCACAATGAGAAATGAACACCAATGTGCCCCTGTACCAATGATAATTCTGGGGCACTTGCCAGACACAGAGACCCCACCACTCCAAAGCATACATGCGCCATGACTCCCACCGATGAAGTGCTTCTCAAGTTCAACTTTCACAAGTAAACAATCCAAGATGGGTAAGAAACTAAAGATGGAACAGGTAGCAGCGTTAGAAGATCAATATTTTCACGTTACAGCATATTCTAATGGAGAATATAAAATTATTGAGTTCAAATAATTAAAGGTAATGAAAAGAATCAAAACTGTAAGAAATACACAAGAAACAAATATCAAGAAGATTAAAATAAATTAAATGGAACTTTTAAAATTAAGCAATAACCAACTGGCTTATGGAGCATATTAGAAACAGCTGAAGCAAAAATATTGAACTAGAAGATAGATCTAAGGAAATTAAGTAAAGCTCAATTGAGGAAGATAAATTAAAAATATGAAAGTGAGATTCAGTGACATGAAGAGAGAATGAGAAGTTCTAATATATGTCTACTAAAAGTTCAAGAGGGAAAAGAAAAAGAATAATGAAGAGTCAAATAGTAACAAGAGGATGGCTGAGAATTTTATAAAATTGATGAAAAGCGTGAATATTTAGGTCCCAGAATAAAAAGTTTTAAGTAAGATAAATAAAGGAAAAACTACTGACAATAGACCCCCTTGTGGTAACAATAGAGCCAGAGTACAATTGGCTAATATCTTCATATTGCTGAAAAAAATAGCTGTCAACCTAGAATTATAAATCAGACAAACTATCAATCAAGAGTGAAAGCATAATAAAGGCAATTTTAAACAAAATGACATAGAGACTTTACCACCCACGTACCCTTGCTAAAGCAATTATTAAAGTATTTACCTCAGATAAAAGAAAATTGGACCCAGAAGGAAGAGAGGTTTCCAAAAGCAATAGTGGGCAAAATAATTGGCAAACATAGGGTAAACCTAAACACATGTTAACAATATAAAAATGAAAATAATTATGAACAATGTGAGATTCATAAAAACAAAGTCAAAATAAAAATCTGAGAAAATGACATGTAAGAGAAGGGGAGCCATCAGAGTTAAAGTTTCTAAAGTCCTTGTAATATTTGGAAATGTGGTAAAATTCTTGATCCACTTTGAACTTTGTTCAGAAGGCATGCATTTTTAAAATCAAACCATAAACCATAACATCATAAAGATTAAGTGTATAATTTCCTAACCAATGAAAGGAAAGAATGAATTAAGGAATATATCAGTCTAATACTTGTTTTGAAAAGAGGGAAAAAAAGAAAAATATGTGATATAGAAAGCATAAAATAAAGTGATAGAAATGAAAACTGTCAGGGATAGAATAACTTTAAATGAATGAACCTCATCAGTTAAAAGACAAGGATTACCAGATTGGATTAAGGAAATAGAATCCAGCTACTTGATATTTATAAAAGTTGTACTTTGTCTTATTCTTGTTGTATTAGTCTGTTCTGGCTGCCATAACAAAATAGCAGACTGGGTGGCTTAAACAACAGAAATATCTTTTCTCACAGTTCTGGAGGCTGAAACTCCAAGGTTAAAAAGCTGTCAGGTTTTATTTCTTTTAAGACTTTTCTTCCTGGGTTGTAGATGGCTGCCTTCTTGCTATATCTTCACATGGACTTTTATTGGTGCATGCATGGAGAGGGAGAGAGAGAGAAGGCTCTGGTGTCTCTTCTCATAAGGACACTAATCCTGTTGGATCAGAGTTCTACCCTCATGACCTCATTTAAACTTAATTACTTCCTTAGAGGCCTTATCTCCAAATACAGACACACTGGGGTTAGGGCTTCAATATATGACTTTTGTGGGGACAAAAACATTCAGTCCATAACATTGGTCTTCCATAAGTAGAACACAAGGCGAAGATTCCGATGCTAATTGGAATGTGGTAGGGGATGAACAGAGAAGGAGGGTGAGAGGAAAAAAAGGAAGTAAAGCATTGATGAAAAAGAACGCAGGTGGAGGACCCACAATACCTGATTTCGAGATTTACTATAAAGCTACAGTAATCAAGGTAATGTGGTCTTGATAAAAGAATAGACAAACAGGCTAATGAACCAAAATAGAGAGCCCAGAAAGAGATCCACACAAATATATCCAATGGATCTTTGACCAAGGAGAAAAGGCAATTCAGTGGAGAAAGCATAGTCTTCTCAACAAATGGTGCTGTATTTCAACAACTGGATATTGACATGCATGGTAAAAACCTGGGTAAGACCTTACACCTTCCTCAAAAGATAACTCAAGATGGGTCATAGAGATAAATGTAAAATACAAAGCTATAAAGCTTCTAGAAGAAAACATGGAAGAAAAATCTGTGAACTTTGGTTTAGAGATGAACTTTTAACTACAACACTAAAACCATGACTGATAAAAGAAAAAAAATTGATAAGCAGAATTTTATTATGATTAAAACACTTCTGCTCTAAGACATGGTTAAGAGAATGAAAAGACAAACCACGACAGATAGATAGGTAGGTAGGTAGGTAGGTAGGTAGGTAGGTAGGTAGACAGATAGATAGATAGACTTATTATAAGGAATTGGCTCATGGGGCTATGAAGACTGAGATGTCCCAGGATCTTCAGCTGGAGACCAGGAGAGCCAATGGTATAGCTCCAGTCTGAGTCTGAAGGGCAGACTCTGCTTAAATTGCTGAAGAAAAAAGGTGAGGTAGCACAAATTATAATGCTGAGAATAAAAGAAGGGACTGGAATTTAGATATAATAGATGTAAAAATTCATAAGTAGACACCTTTGATTCTGGCAGTAATGGAGTAATGAGGATCACAATCATCTTCCCACTGTAAATACATATAAAACAAAATATATGAAGAAGCTGTTCCCAGACATTGGATAACAAGCAGCACTGGGCTCTGATCCTCTAGTGAAGGGATGCTGTGAGGCCCACATTCACCCAGCTCTCTGCCTGAGGGCACTTTCCAGACTAGGACACTTTCCATTCAAACAGGAAGTAGAAACCTGTTAGACAGCAATGATAGGCCTGGATGGAGAATGCAATATGGAGTTTGGGGCTGCTGAGAGAGCTGGAATTTATGGGAGTAGGGTACCAGGAGGATAGAGTTGTGCAGAGGAAGAACCCCCAAAATCTCTATAAGGGTCCTCTGGACTCTTAAGCCGAACAGTAAGCTGTGAATGCACAAAGCAAGACTCAAGGATGCCTGCAGAGAACAGTTTCTAGGAGACAGTGAAGAGATCAGGGATTCCAAGAGTGACACATTAAAACATTAGTGTTCTGACAAGCCAGAGTGGAGAGACCTCATGAACAACCCAGGCATTCAACTGAAGCTTCAAAAATACTTTGCCTTTAGCAGAGCTGCTCTGGCCCCACAGTAAGGGCTATCTAGACTCTTCCTAAAATGTCTAAAATCAAGCTTCAGTAGGATCAAGCTGATCCACCATAAAATTCTACACTCCTTAAAGAAAGACAATATAAGCCAAACTCTCACAATGGAGCCTCCATAAAGTTGACCATATGATAAAAATTTGTTAGACATATATATCAAGAAGCTAGAAAATGTGACCCAAACTTGGATAGAAAACAGTCAATAAAAGCAGCCATAGATGAGGCAGTTGTTGCAATTAGCACACAAAGGCATTAAAACAATGATTAGAAGTATGTTCAAGGACTTAAAGGAAAAGCTGGCCATAATGAGAGGGTGGGCAGGCAGGCTCAGCAGAAAAGCAAAGACTACAGAAAAGAGCCACACAGAAATTCTAAAACTAAAATAATAGTCTCTAAAGTGTTAAAAAAATTCTTAGCTGGGCTTAAAAGTAGCTTGAGAACTACGGAAGAAAATATTAGTGAATCTGAAAATAGGTCAATAGAAACGATTCAAATTTAGACATACAGAGGGAAAAAAGTGAAAATAATAAACAAGGCCTTAGTGACCTATGGGACAAGAAGA